AAAAAAAAAAAAAAAAATATATATATATATATATGAAGCAAAGTTATCCAATACAGGTTGAGTATTCCTTATCTGAAATGCTTGGGACCAGAAGTGTTTCGAATTTTGAATTTTTTTGGATTTTGGAATACTTTTGTACATATATAATGAGATATCTTAGGGATGGGACCTAAGTCTACACATGAAATTCATGTATGTTTCATATATACCTTATACACATGAAGGTAATTTTATACAATATTTTAAATAATTTTGTGTATGAAACAAAGTTTTGACTGCAACTGTCACATGAGGTCAAGTGGGCAATTTTCCACTTGTAGCATCATGTCAGTGCTCAAAAAGTTTCAGATTTTGGAGTATTTCAGATTCTTAGTTTTCAGGTTGGGGATGCTCAACCTACATTATGTACTTGGTAACTTACCTAGTTTACATATAAATATAAGATTATAAATAAAGAACACAAAATAACTTTTATCAAGTGCTGGGAATTGTACCCCAAATTAACATTTATTAATCTAATCCCTACAATAACCCTTAAGGTAGATATTAACCTTAATCACATTTTACAGATGAGAATATTACAGCTGAGAGAACTCAAGTAAATTGCCCATGATTAATAATTGTGATACCATAAACATTCAAGTTTGTGTTTTTGGTTTTTTTTTGAGTTGGAGTTTCACTCCGTCGCCCAGACTGGAGTGCAGTAGCAGCTCCCGGCCACCGCAGCCTCGACCCACTGGGCTCCGGCGATCCTTCCACCTCAGCGTTCCAGTAGCCGGAATTACAGGTGCGCGCTACCACGCCTGGCTGATTTTTGATTTATTGTAGAGATGTGGTCTCGCCAAGTTGCCCAGGCGGGTCTCGAACCTGCGGGCTCAAGCAATCCACTCACCTCAGCCTCCCAAAGGTGCAGGATTACAGGCTGAGCCACTGAGCCTGGCTAAGTTTGTGTTTTAAGTATCTCCTGTCCTGATATAAAATCATTTGGAAGAGAATTCTTCTTTGTACCCTAGAACTGTGGCTCAGGTACTGGTAGCAAAAAGTAACAAATCAAGTTCAAATAGAAACCTGGCATATTTCTAACTGCCTTCCCTCAGAAAAAACAAACAAACAACAACAACAAAAACCCTCTAGAAATAAGCATTTTTGTCACACAAGAGAAATATTCAGTATTAAAACTTGTATCATTCAGAATTGGTCATCCAAATGCAATTGTGGTTAGTGTATTTAATGAGTTATTTTTAGACACTTACTGTTTTAGGAGAAAAACTATAGCTATAGGTGTATATGTATCACTTGCCCCAGTCTTAGATAATGAAACTTATACTATGTCTTCTTACCCTTTCTGTTTTATCTGCACAGAAGAGTCGTGTGTGGTGTCTTTTCTGTACCACAATATATGTTATTCCTGGCCGGTAATCTTCTTCCAAGCTAATACATGCCTTTCGGATTGCTATTAGTTCCGGCCAAGCTACCTAGGAGATAGAAATGGAATTATGTTTGAGAACTTCTCAGATCTACCCAGAGTGACAGATGGGCAGACGCTCTGTCAGATTCCTAGAAGTCCCAGAGGGCAACAATGGGATAATGAGAGTACCTGTTTCATTTGTCCCTCAGATACCCCTCCACGGTAATAGATGATCCGAGTGGGTTTGAAGCGTGTGGACTTGTAGAACTGGATCAGCAGCTCTCGAACCATGTTAGTGAGGTCCTGGATGACCTCCTGACTGTAGAGGAGCTCTTGGGAGATTTCCTGCCGGGAAGTCTGCACCCGAACAGTGGCACAGTACCGGCTGGGGTGGCCATCCATACTGCCGACCACAGCAGCAATGGATGGCTTCTTCCCATCCCCTGCAGGGGGGTGTGTGACATCAGCACCCAGGAAGATGACAGGCTGCTGGAACACTGAAGGCCTGCTCAGATTTAAGAAAACATTGCCACTCAGATATGCAAGTGAAAATGCTTGAGTTTAGTAAAATTATATCATCCAATATAATCACAGACATAATTATATAAGAGCGAACAAAGGTTTATGCCCATTGGGAGAGAACACTAAGACCCACTGAGTATTGGTGGTACCCAGGACAATGAATCTGGATTGACTGAAGAAGTGAATGTGGTTCTTCTATAATTGTAGGAAGGGAAGATTTAAAAAGAGGACCTAGGTCAGGCGCAGTGGTTCACACCTGTAATTGCAGTTGCTTTGGGAGGCCAAGGTAGAAGGATTGCCTGAGCCCAAGAGTTCAAGGCTGTAGTGAGCTATAATTGTGCCACTGCACTACAGCCTGGGCAACAGAGCAAGAGCTGTCTCTAAGAAAAGAAACAAACAAACAAGCAAAAAAGACAACTTAACTCAAATTTAACAAAGTCTCTATGTGTAAAATAAAACTTTTCCAGAACAGGCTTTCTTGGGATTCTAAGATTTCTACAAAGGACACAGAAATGCAGAATATATATGGAACTGGGACCAAAACCCCAATTCTCTTTAAGATGAGAGACTTAGGGAAAAGAATCAAGCCTATTTCCTTCTTGGTTTTATTTTTATCCATAGTATTTTTACATACCATATATATTACTTATTTTATTTATTGTCTACACACAAAAATGTAAGCTCTACAAGGGCAGGAATTTTGTTTTGTTTTGTCTTGGCCACTACTGTATCCCTAGAGCCTTGAACACTGCCTCATCCACAGTTGACACTCAATAACTATTTGTTGAAAGAATAAATTCATTTATTTGGCACTGATTTCTCTACCTAAGGAATCAAAGAGAAAAATATGTATGCTTCTCTGGTAAAAACTAGGCAAAAAAGGTGAGATAAGATATGATATGAAATTCTTTACATTTTTAAAAGTAGAATTTGGGACTGTGAGTGTTAAATCTTAATGTATAATTTAGGAGACATCCCAAATTTGACAATCTCATATAGTAAGTACTACTAAAGATGATGTCCCATAGAGGGCAGAGGCTGTGTTGTATTTATCTATGTCATCATAGAACCCAGATCTGGCATAGAGCAGTTAATAATAGTGGGATGTAAGCCTGGGCAATATAGCAAGACCTCATCTTTACAAAAATTTTAAAAATTAGCCATGTGGTGGTGCGTACCTGTAGTCCCAGCTACTCAGGTAGCTAAGGAGAATGAATCGCTTGAGATCAGGAGTTTAAGGCTGTGGTAAGCTGTGATCGTGCCACTGCCCTCTAGTCTAGACAACAGATTTAGACTCCAATTCAAAACAACAACAATGACAACAAAACCCAGTGGACATGTATAGGTAAAATATATATACATAACATAATAATAGATTACATATGCAATATATCAGCCACTGTGCTAAGCACCTTACAAGTGTTAACTCATTTAGTCCTCACAATTCTATAAGGGTAGTATAATTATTATCTCAATTTTCTTTAAAAAACAAGACATAGGGAGATAAAGAATATGACCAAGATCACATAGCTAGGAATGGTAAAGCTGGAATTAAAACCCAGGAAGTCTGATACCAAAATATGCACTCTAAGCCACTATGCTATATTGTCTCAAATGTTTGGGGTAAGCTTTAGGTTAACTCCCCCTATGTCCTGTGCACCTCATCACCAATGTTTCAGGAGGGATTTATTTAGCTAGAAATTTCACTGAAGGACAAAAATGAGAATTGTGATATGACTGCATAAGAGCAAGGCACTCAATTTCACCTTCTTTTCAGATATGACGATGACTAATACCACACTCTTAAAATTAACTTTCCAAGTCACCTTCACATGTAGGATTTCACATAAAAACAACAGTTTAGAGTTGACAAAGCAGATATTATTGTCTTGATAGATAAGGAACTAAAGAGCAGAGATATTAAAAACACACGTGGGTAAAAAATACTCAAATTTCTCAACTCCTAGCCAGTATTTTGCCTATAATATCACTCTCTAGCTCTGGTGTTTAGTTATTCTAGAGTCAATTTGACAAATTCAAATTTAAACACAAAGCCTAGGGGAGAGCAAGGTTTCTTAATAGGGCATAACAAGATTGATTAAACTCAGTCCTATTTACATTAAGAACTTTTATTCATCAAAAGCAACTATTTTTTTTTTTTTTGAGTTGGAGTCTCACTCTATCGCCCAGACTGGAGTGCAGTGGCCGCTCCCAGCCACCGCAACCTTGACCTGCTGGGCTCCGACGATCCTTCCACCTCAGCCTTCCAAGTAGCTGGAACCACAGGCGCGTGCTACCACGCCTGGCTAATTTTTTAATTTATTGTAGAGATGAGATCTTGCCAAGTTGCCCGGGCGGGTCTCAAACCTGCGGGCTCAGGCAATCCACTCACCTCGGCCTCCCAAGGTGCGGGATTACAGGCTGAGCTACCGAGCCCGGTTAAAAGCAACTATTTAGGAGAATGAAGAGGCAAAACACAGAATAGGAGAAGATATTTGTAATACTTATATCCTATCATATCCAGAACCTACCGTATCCAGAAACCACAAAGAACTACTACAAATTAATGAAAGAGACTCACAACCAAATATAAAAAATAGACAAAGGACTGAACAGGGCCATCTCATAAGAAGATATCCAAATGACCAATAAGCACATGAAAATGTGCTTAACATCATTAGTTATCAGACGAATGCAAATTAAAACCATAACAAGATACTATTACCCTCAACTAAAACGGTTAAAATTAAAAGAACTGATGCTACCAGGTGTTAGTAAGGATATAGAGTAGGTAGAACTCTCATATAGAGTCATTAGAAATGTAAATTCGTATAACCACTTTGGAAAACGATTTGACTGTATTCATTAATACTAAATACACATATGTATTCTTTTTTTTTTTTTTTTTTTTTTTGAGTTGGAGTCTCATTCTGTCACCCAGACTGGAGTGCAGTGGCTGCTTCCGGCCACTGCAGTCTCGACCTGCTGGGCTCCGGCAATCCGGAATTACCGACATGCGCTACCACGCCCGGCTGATTTTTTGATTTATTGTAGAGATGAGGTTTCGCTGCCCAGGCGGGTCTCGAACCCGCGGGCTCAGGCAATCCACTCACCTCAGCCTCCCAAAGGCGCGGGATTACAGGCTGAGCCACCGAGCCCGGCTTGTATTCTTTTTTTTTAATTGGAGTCTCACTCTGTCACCCAAGCTGGAGTGCAGTGGCATGCTCATGGCCACCACAGCCTTGACCTGCTGGGCTCAGGTGATTCTTCCATCTTAGCCTTCCAAGTAGCTGGAACCACAGATGTGTGCCACCATGCCTGGCTAATTTTTTTATTTATTTTAGAGATGAGGTCTTGCCAAGTTGGCCCAGGCTGGTCTTGAACCCCTGAGTTTAGGTAATCTTCTCACCTCTGCCTCCCAAAGTGCTGGGATTACAGGCATGAGCCACCGTACCTGTCACGTATGTATTCTTTATAATCCAGTAATTCCACTCCTGGAATTCCACACACAAGAAAGACTGCTTAAGCCCACCAAAAATGTAGAATTGCACAATGAATGTATGAGAGTATCCATCAATAAGTAAAACATGTAAATTGTGTGGTTTATTCATGTAATGAAATAATATACAAAAAAAAAACTACTACTAGATGTAACAACATAAATAAATCTCATAGACACAATGTTGACCAAAGGAAGATAAACATAAAATAGTACATTCTTTATGATTCCATTTATATACAGTTCAAAAACATGCAAAACTAATATGGTGATAGAGGTCAGGATAGTTATCATTTTTGGAGATTATCTTATTTGGGGAGGCCACATAGAAACCTGATAGAGTGCTGAAAATGTTCCATATTTTCACCTGGGTGGTTAATATATGGGTGAATACTTATATGAGAAAAAGTAATCAGATGCATATTTGAGATTTGTATGCTGTACCACTAATTATATAAGTTAGATCTTTAAAAAGTGGGAGAAACACAATCAGAATCTTACCTTTGATGAGGTACAAGCACATTGTTAATTCCTCCAAGTTTTGCATTTATCTTCAGGCAAAGGTTGGAAAGGGTTTGAGGTGAGGTCTTCACTACATTTTTCACCTGGACACATTGTGTGGCCATACCTAGAAGGGTATCTCCAACACGTTTCACCTCCGCTATAAAAATAAATAAATAAATACATTAGAACATGTTTAAATAGTTTCCTAACTACTAAGAGCAAAGGGGGAATAAAACCCCACACATTAACTTTACAGAGTATCCACTATATACTTATACTGTGTTAGATGCTTCTCATGTGTCATCATTTCATCTGCTAAACCCCCAGGGCAGTTTTTTTCCCCATTTGGATAGGCCCTCCTCCCTCTCTTTCTTCCCCTCCTGCAGGCCTAGAAGCCAACCTGCTTTCCTTTATCCTTTGATGCTGCCTGCCACTACTTGCCCCTTCAGGTTCCTCTTTCCACATGAGTGGTCTGGCAGAGGAATCAATCTCTCTAGTAACTCCCTCTTAGTACACACACCAGCCCTTTTAACTTTAATTATTTTTCCTTTTTTTCTTTCTTTCTCCAAACATTAGGACTGCATAGAGAGTGTTAAAGACATTTAATAAAGTATATTTATTTGCTTTATTTTGAGTTTTTTAGAGACAAGGTCTTACTCTGTCATCCAAGCTGCTATCACCCAGCCTACCGTACAATGGCCTGATCACAGTTTACTGCAACCTAGAACTCCTGGACTCAAATGATCTTGAGTATTTGAGATTACAGGAATGTACCATCACACTACACTCATTATATATATATAAATTTTTTTTTTTTTTTTTTTTTTTTTTTTGTAGAGACAGGGCCTCACTCTGTTGCCCTGGTCTCAAACTCCTGGCCTCAAATGATCCTCCTGCCTTGGCCTCCCAAAGCACTAGGATTACATGAGCCAACTCACATGATCAGCGTTTTATAAACTTTAAACTGCTATTGGTAGTTCCTAGGTTCTTTACTTAGATGATAGCCAAAAGAACTTTGTATCATTCTTTTTACAATAGATACAAAGAGCATATCCTCTTCTAGAAGTGGCAGACTCCCCTACTCTTCCCTACTCCGATATTCTTAAGTGCTTTTCACTAAACATTCCAGTTCTCCCAGCTTCTGGGACTATGGTAAGACTGTACTGCCTTTCCAACTCCCATCTCCACTCCCCCAACACAGGTTGGGTGAGGCCATATGGCTCCTTGCGACTAAGGGTTTGCAGAGAGACATTTGGGACTAGCAACATTTCAAAAAGCAGCTGCTCTGCCAAGCTGGGTTACCAAGTAGGGCTAACATAATGACACAGAGCAGAAGCCACAGTCTACCCTCAATGGACACACAGCAGGAGCAAAAAATAAATCTCTGTTATTTTGAACCACTGAGAGTTTGGGGTTGTTTGTGACAGCAGCATAACCTAGCTTATCTTGATCGCTATACCCACTACTTGAAATCCTCATTCAACATTAAAAGGGTTCATACCATATACTGGTGTCTTTCCAGGCAAGATAACCACTATTAGCTGTAGGCCCACATATGTCATTTTCAGATGTTTAAACATGGGCTCCACACTGTCGGCACCTTGTGCATACTTGCAGAAACATGGCTGACCCTGGATGGGCATTCCTGCATCCTTAGAGATTTTACGTAGCTGGTCAGTGAAACTCCTGTTAAAATAGAACCAGTGGCACAGTTTTTTTTCCATTTCAGAGTATATTCTTAGCATTAATTTCCCTCTAAAATATTTCTTTCAGTTTTGCAAATTCTTAGCCAAAATTAGAAACAAATAAATAAACAAAATAATCATTGACTGCCAAAAATAGACTGGCAACTGTATCTCTGCAATTAAACAGGGAAGAATCTGTATTATGCTATCAGATTATCATTTTGAGTTTTTTTTTTTTTTTTTTTTGAGTTGGAGTCTCACTCTGTCGCCCAGACTGGAGTGCAGTGGCTGCTCCCAGCCACCGCAGCCTCGACCTGCTGGGCTCCGGCGATCCTTCCGCCTCAGCCTTCCAAGTAGTCAGAATTACAGGCATGCGCTACCACACCCAGTTGATTTTTTGATTTATTGTAGAGATGAGGTCTCGCTGCCCAGGCGGGTCTCGAACTCGCGGGCTCAGGCAATCCACTCACCTCAGCTTCCCAAAGGTGTGGGATTACAGGCTGAGCCACCGAGCCCGGCTCATTTTGAGTTTTTAAATAATTATGCCTCAGCTGAGTATAATTATTTAAAACTAGAACCGTATTTCTGTTAAAAGATTTTTTTAAAAAAACATTTAAATCAGTAATTCTGGATTAAAGAACAGAGAGGGGCCAAAATCTCAAGTAACAGCATTTTGGTAAACCTGGTATGGAAGTAGTTGGGTAAGCCTGTGCTCAACTTAGAACACAGAAACATGCTATCACAAAATTAGTATATTTAGGATTACATTCAAACTTGTAACAGCTTTGGTTCAATAACTATCTCAAAGGAAATCATCATTTAAAAAAGGCAATTCATTTGAAAGTTTTAAATTGTAGACTTAAGAAGTTACTTCAATCTATATATAATTCTTTGCATTTGCCAATATTTTGTAGGATTCCTCTTTCATCCCTGTTCCCTTGTTTTGATTTTTTTCATCCTTCTCACTAACTTCCTTTTTATACACAGCTGTATCTGTAAGACGAACCAATATTCTTATAGCCAGTGATCCTGCAATAAAACAACCTCACTAGTAAATTATAATGATTAAAAGTAAGCTTTTAAAAAAAATCTTAGCTGAAAAGATACAATTTTTTTTTTTTTTTGAGTTGGAGTTTCACTCCGCCGCCCAGACTGGAGTGCAGTGGCTGCTCCCAGCCACTGCAGCCTGGACCTGCCGGGCTCCAGCGATCCTTCCGCCTCAGCCTTCCAAGCAGCCGGAACTACAGGCGTGCGCTACCACTCCCGGCTGATTTTTGATTTATTGTAGAGATGAGGTCTTGCCAAGTTGCCCAGGCGGGTCTAGAACCCGTGGGCTCAGGCAAATCCACTCACCTCAGCCTCCCAAAGCGCGGGGTTACAGGCTGAGCCACCCAGCCCGGCTGATACAATTAATACCGAAGGAGGAGGGGGAAGGGGAAAAAATACCAAAGGAAGCTTCACTAAGAACTCAAGAATTCACCAACCAACATTGCTTCAGCCTTGTTAGTCACAAATTTCTGCTCTAAATGTAATGAAGCTGAGTCAGATTCTTAATGCAGTTCCTAAGTTTGCAAATTACTAGAATACAAGGTCTTTTACATATAACCAGATGGTGTCACACTATGGGAGTCACGGATTTAGTGCCAGTGTACATAGCACATTCACATAGAGATGGTATTTTCATATCTGGAAGGGATATTACTAAGCTGAAAATATGAAGATACTCACTTTAGTAAATCTTCCCTGCATTGTTTCTGAGGCGCAAAACAAGCAACTGCCCAAACTTTAATTTCAATGCCAGCATAAAACTGCTTTCCTCGCATGTCCCAGACACCCTGGTTGGGTGTGGCAACTGTTTTATTCTTTGAAAAAAGGAAGAAACAAAAGAAAAGGAAAAAGACATTACAATCTAAGGCCATTTTAATGTTAATGAGGGAATAAACAAACTTCTATTTGGTAAGAGTTAGAAGACAAAAGGCAATAATGAGCAAAACCATGGGTAAACTCAGTGATGGTGTAGCAGAAAAACTGAATTATTTTCTTTTTGACTGGCTGTAGAAGAAGCTTGCTGAATAAAATAAAATGCTTACCCGGCCTCCATATTGCAGCATTGGTGCTGGAAGTACCCTGCCTGTGAGCTCTGTCATTTCATTGTGGACAACAATACCAAATTCTTTTAGGTATGGATCAGGTCCACCCACCATGCTGTTGCTCTTCACCTAAAGAATAGGAAAGCCTGCATATATAAAAACCAAAGAGTAACTGTGTCCCATCAGGAGTTTTCTAGTCTTGAAGACCATCCCTTACTAACCAGTCTACTGATCTCTTCCTGTCTGTCAGGAGCAGATCTTGCTGTGGCTTTGATCATCGTAGAAGTCTGATTGTCTGTGAGCTTCTTTATACATCGCTGTCCTGCCACTATATTACAGACCTGCCAAGAGGCAAAGAGAAATTAGTTTGTATAATGGGTTCTATATCTTAAGCCTTTGCCAAATTGTATCTTACATCCTCAATTTCCAAAAAAAATAAAAATTCTGACATACAGTAAAATTATCTGTCCAATGTACTTTAGAAATTAATGCTAATCTAAGCCAGACACAGTGGCATATGCCCATAATCCCAGCACTTTGGGAGGCGGAGGCAAGAGAATTGCCTGAGTTCAGGGGTTTGGGACCAACCTGGGCAACTTGACAAGACCTTGTCTCTACAATCAATCAGAAAATTAGCTGGGTGTGGTGGCATGCACCTGTGGCTCCAGCTACTTGGAAGGCTGAGGTGGAAGAATCATCTGAGCCTAGCAGGTCAAGGCTGAGGTGGCTGTGAGCATGCCACTGCACTCCAGCCTGTGCAACAGAGTGAGACTCCAACTAAAAAAAAAAAAAAAAGAACTAATGCAAATTTACCAATTGTTTAGAATTCTTCAAAAAAGAAAAGCAAGCCATTGCTTTACTCAACTCTGGTCTGGTCATGTGGCTCTTTGAGCTATGGCTACTCTGTTTTTCTAAGCTTTGGCCCCCTCCCCTACCTTGGGGAGGTAAATCTCTTTCTCTCTCTGTCTTTCTCTAATTTACTTTCTAAATAAACCATGTTTTCCAATCTAAAAAAAAGAAAAAACCAATTCAAGAGACTGGCAGATTGACAAAAGATAATTTAGTTTAGCTTACCTCAAGTGGCAAGTATGTATGCTTTTGTTCTTGACCCACTTGGAGACAGGGGAGGTGGGGGTATTTCAGCTGTAGACTGTACTTTTGCTTAAAATATTGAGCTACTGTACATTCCATAGCTTGACCATTTTCTAACTGTAAAGGGAAACTATAGGAGAGAATGTCATTTTTAGAAATTTATTCAAGTTCTTTTTTTCTAAACAAGTAAACAAAGCCTACTAACATTTTCTACCTTGATCAGTCACTTAAAAAACAAAGGTCAATCGTTATTTGAGCATTTTCACTTCAGTCATTTTAGTATTATTTATTTGTTTGTTTACTTAATTTTTGAGCTGGAGTCTCACTGTTGCCCAGGCTGGAGTGCAATGGCATGCTCACAGCCACCACAGTCTCAACCTACTGCACTCAGGTGGTCCTTCTGCCACAGCCTTCCAAGTAGCTAACTACAGGTGTGTACCACCATGCCTGGCTAAATTTTTTATTTCTTGTAGAGATGAGGTCTCGCCAAGTTGCCCAGGCTGGTCTCAAAAACGGGCTTAAGGAATCCTCTCGCCTCAGTCTCCCAAAGTGCTAGGATTACAGGGTTAAACCGCCACGCCCGGCCTGTCATTGAAATGCTCCAGGTTTGTTAAAGCTAGGATAAAAAAATTTCTTAATTGAAATATTTAAAAAATTTAAAACAGGTCGGGTGCAGTGGCTCAAGTCTATAATACCAGCACTTTGGGAAGTTGAGGTGAGAGACTGCCTGAGCCCATGAGTTTGTGAGCAGCCTGGCAACTTCACGAGATCTCATCTCTACAATAAATCAAAAAATTAGCTGGGTATGGTAGCACACGACTGTAGTTCCGGCTACTTGGAAGGCTGAGGCAGAAGAATCGCCTGAGCCCAGCAGGTCAGTGCTGGGTTGACCACTGCACTCCAGCCTGGGTGATGGAGTGAGACTCCAACTCAAAAAAAAAAAAAAAAAATTTAAAACAAGGAGATGCTGCAGAACCAGAAAATACAAAGACTCAATCAAGGTCAGTTAATACCAACAGGTACCAATACAATCTCTTTCTGGCTTCTTATAGATTATTAAATTAATTCATGTAGGAATTTTGTTCCCTTAGGATAACTTTTTATAAAATGAGTGTAGTATAGTTATTGGGGCCACATTTGCAGATCCCCCAATTTTCATATTCCCAAACCAAGAAAATTCATATGGATCAAGAGACAATAAGGCCAAATATACATAAAGTTGAGACTATCTCAGAATATTTTGTATTAGCTGGGGAGCATAATTTAAGAGACTCCCTTTATTTGGTTCTTCCAGTGGGCAAATTATCTCAAATACTTAGCACAATGATAACTTTAATCTTGCTTACTTAACTGTTATATCCTCATAGAGTAACAATGCAGTAAGGATCATCTATGTGATACTTAAATTTATGTGCTTGAAATCTTTGAACAAAGATTACATAGGTCTATAAGTCTAAATATTCTGACAGAGCTATGTTAAAAATTAAATAATAAAAAAACAGTTCTTGAAACAACCGCTACAATTCTTGAAAGCGACTCCATAAAATTTTGATATGAATGGAGTCAATGGCATAATATGAACAATACATGAAATATTACTTTACAACTTTTAAGAAATTCATGTAGTATATACATGAGGTGATACTCAAAAATTTATTCAAATCAGATTGAAACAGTACACTTAATTTATCCAGAAATCACCTGAAGATTTCAACTATCTAGAACAAAGCCCTCTGGATGATTTTGATATATACTAAAGTTTGAAAATTAAGAACTATAACTCTACAACAAAGTCAGACTAGAATATCAGCAAAAACGAAAAGGGGGATAGAGCTTGTGAATAGTCAACTTTTTTTTTTTTTGGAAAGGGCTTCAAAGTAGCCAAAATAACATAAGTTTATACTATATATTTAGCAACCCTTTACTTACTTCAATATTTATGTTTATGTCAGATATGAGCTTAATGAACTTGATGACAAGAATAAAATACATATATATGGTAATTTAAAAAGTACTTTCATATGTAGTGTCTCATTTAGGCATAGTTCTCAGTGGATTAGAAGTTGGGTGATTAGAAGAATGAGACTGGGGAAGTAGAAAGAAGTATGCTGCTGGAGGCATGCCACATACACTGACAGCTTGAAGAAGTAACAGCTAACTGTAAAGTGAGGAAGAAAACTCCACCGAAAACACAAAGCAGTATGTCTTCCCATGACAGCCTTATATGACTTCAAGGACTTAATAGACCCTTTGGGTCATGTATTAAAATTACAAGAGTATAATAAATGATGCTTATAATAATGACTCTGCATCATTAAATAAAAGTTGATCTACATTTAGCATGCTCTGTTTAAGAGGTGAATTGAATTAAATACACAGAATATGTTTCACAAATATCTCTATCAAAAATATTTAGAACATATTTTAAAACTTCAGTGTTACAAGCAAAGAGTCTGGACATTTTGAAAATTATAGCATGAGATCTCAATTTCTCAAATGATTACAGTAGCTTTCTCTGTTACCAAAAATGTAATTGTATTATTTTAGATGTGATTAATATACGTTTGATGACTGGCTGGCCGTCTAGTCACATTACAAACTCGGTATTTTCGTTTCATTTGTCCACAGTGGGTCACCTCAACTTTGAGACCTGAAGTTGAAAAATAAAAAGCCAAAACATCAGTATTAATTAAAATCATAGGAATAAAAACAGATTCAAATGCTGTCTTCAAAAAGGCAGCTATATAGGATAAAAGTTGTAAGAATATGAGACAATTTCTTTATGTAGGCAAAAATGCCTGACCTAAGCAGAATAAACTAGAATCCAGATGACCTTAGATGCTCAATCTACTTTAGTTTATTAATTCATTCAATTAATATTTTTAAAGCATCAATTATGTTCTGATATTTATTCTTGGGTCTAGAGGCAGCCCTCTTGAAGGTTATACTCCAGTGAGAGAAGATACCTAATTACAAGTAAAGAAGAAAATAAATTCCAAAAGGATAATAAATAAATTTGTATCTTTTTTTAATTATAAAAATGTGGGGTACAAGCCGGGCTCGGTGGCTCAGCCTATAATCCCGTGCCTTTGGGAGGCTGAGGTGAGTGGATTGCCTGAGCCCACGGGTTCGAGACCTGCCTGGGCAGGCAAGACCTCATCTATACAATAAATCAAAAAATTAGCTGGGCGTGGTAGCGCGCGCCTGTAGTTCCAGCTACTTGGAAGGCTGAGGCGGAAGGATTGCTGGAGCCCAGCAGGTCGAGCTGCGGTGGCCGGGAGTGGCCACTGCACTCCAGTCTGGGCGACGGAGTGAGACTCCAACTCAAAAAAAAAAAAAAATGTGGGGTACAATTCACGGTTAGGTATACAAACATTGATTATGCAGGTACCCTTGTTGATGAGGTGTGCCCCTCCCTCCCCTAGCAGGTTCCCTCAACTGCCAATCCTACCACTCCTCCTCAATTTGTATCATTTTATTAAAATGGAAGTTTTTGGCCAGGTGTGGTGGCTCACACCTATAATCCTAGTACTTTGGGAGGCTGAGGCAGGAGGATTGCTTGAGCCCAGGAGTTCAAGATGATCCCAGACAACATAGTGAAAGCTTGTCTCAAGATCAGAATATCACATGTTCTCACTCATATAATGGACCTTGAACATCCAATGTAATACTATAAGAAAATGACTGGCGGTACTAGGAAACTATGGGGGGGAGGGAGATGGGATTAACAGTAGCAAATATCTGTCTGGGGCTGGGAAAACACCTCTTATCATCAGGGTGTCTGAATGAAACGTAATTGTACACCTAACCCTTAACTGTACCCCACAAAACTATAATAAAAATACTGATTAATTATTAAAAAAAAAAAAAAAAAGTAAAATAAAATTCTTTTATATAATGTAAAAAAAAAATAAATAAATAAATAAATAAAAAAAGAAAGCTTGTCTCTACAAAAAAAAAAGAAAAAAAAAAATCTGGGTGTGGTGGCACATGCTCAAGCTCCTTGGAAAGTTGAGGCAGGAGGAGTGCTTAAGTTAGGAGTTCATGGCTGTAGAAAGCCATAATTGTACCACTGCACTCTAGCCTGGGCAACAGAGTGAGACCTCAACTCAGAAAAAAATTTTTTTTAAAAAAGGAAGTTTTTAAGTAGGTAAGGGTAGCATTTACTGAGTGCCTGACATGTGACAATTACTATGCTACAAAGTTTTGTAACCCTAACCTAAACAACTCTACAAGATATATATTATTACCGTTACCTTAGAGATGAATAACAGTTGTTAAAGAATTTGACCAATATCCCAATGATTTAACTGGTTGAGCTGAGACAGAAGTCCCCGGCTGTGTGAGTCTAAAGCCCAGGCTCCTTGCACTATGCTGAGCTGCTTCTCCAAGACTACATTAATGCAAATACCTACCTCTGATTTCTTTGGTAAACTTGACACGTTGGGAGTCTGTTAGAGGTTTGGTCTGTTCATTGATATTCTGAATGTCTAAAACCTCACACATGAACTCAATGATAGGCTGAGCCCGGTAGAAAGCAGTTGCAGAAACTAACAAACAGAGAAGAAGGATACTTAGCTTCAGGGGAAAGAGAAGGGACACACACATACATACACACACGACAAAACAAAACAGAACAACAGCCAAAAGAGTTCATGGACAAAGAGAGTTCCATCCTACCATCAATATTGAGCATCATATTCCACATAGCTGGTCTCACAGACTGATGAAAGCCAAACCAAACCTCCCTGCCCCCTCCCAGAGGGTGGTAGTAACCTTCAGGGGGTGAAAAAAAGGAACGGCCCACTGGAGTGTACCTGAAGAAATAAGAGTTTGCTTGTTTCACAATAAAATTTTGAAAGGTCTTTCATTTCACTGTCAACTCTGCGAACTGAAAGTAAATTTGAACTATGACTTACACAGAAATCTTTCAACAGCTTCAATGCAAACTACCAAAATATCTGACACTTATGGGAAAGAATCCAAACCAAGGCACTAACCTCATGGAGGGAAGGTGTCTTGTGATAACATCAAGTGCTTGTACTGAATCATCTGGAACTTCATTCAGGTGCCCAGCCAAAGCTTCCAAAAGCAACTGAAGGCTCACAACGGATACCCACTGAACAGACACTTTAAAGGTTTGGTCTTTACCCTCTCCTGGAAGGGTCACCTCCATATCAACCTAAGGAAAAAATACATGCATACAAACATATATGTTTACAACGGTTGTGGGAAAGATCCCAAAATCTTCCAGTTGGTGGATCCCAAGATCTACCAGTATAAGGATTTTTGTTTTCACATTTTTGCATAACATTGGAAACAACTTAAGTGTCTATTAACAGGGAAATAGTTTAATGTATAATATTATACATATATTATAAATAATTGACATAAAATATTTAACATATAATTATACACAGTTAAAAAATAGGGTAGATGTTACAACATGGATGAACTTAAAAACATTATGCTAAGTGAAATAAGACAGATACAGAAGAACAAATATTATTGTATGATTCTATTTACATTTATAGTCAAATTTATAAGCAGAGAGTAGAATAGTGGTTACCAGGGACTGGAGGCAGTGGAGTTTGGGATGTTTCATAGGTACAGAGTTTCTGTTTGGGATGGTAAAAATGTTCTGGAGATGGATAGTAGTGATGGATGTACAACAATGTGAATGTACTTAATGCCAATAAACTGTGTCCTTAAACATGGTTGAAATAGTAAATTTTATATCATGGTTTATATTTTACCACAATAAAACATTTAAATATGGAAAAAACAATAAGGTAAATATAAATCATAGAATGATATGCAAAAAATAAGAATAAACATGTATAAACAGCTAATATACATAAAATATCTTTAAAAATGAGTGTGTGTATATATGTGTGTGTGTGTATATATATATATATATATACACACACATACATACCAAACTATTATGTAGTTTCCCTTTGGAGAGGACAAGAGGCAGATAGACGAAGGAGGCAAGAAATCACAGCATTTCTAGATTGCCTGAATAAGTCTATAATAAGCATACATCTGCATATTTTCTAATTTTAAAAATAAATGCTTAGGGCCAGGCATGGTGGCTCACGCCTATAATCCCAGCACTTTGGGAGGCTGAGGTAAGAGGATTGCCTGAGCCCACAGGTTCGAGACCAGCCTGGGCAACTTGGCAAGACGTCATCTCTACAATATATCTAAAAAATTAGCCGCATGTGATGGCACATGCTTGTGGTTCCAGCTACTTGGAAAGCTGAGGCAGAAGGATCGCCTGAGTCCAGCAGGTCAAGGCTGTGGTAGCCGTGAGTGTGCCACTGCACTCCAGCCTGGGCGACAGAGTAAGACTCCAACTCAAAAAAATAAAAGTAAAAAATAAATGCTTAAAAAGGTCTCGTAATATTATGAATCTATTTTCATAAGTGGGAATTTCACAATGTTCTAAAATTTATAAAAATTCCATTGTCCAAATTCAAGTAGTACTTTGTTACAGCACATTATTAGCATGCTAAATTTGGAATATATGTAAAGATGACAGAATGCACCTAAAGTCTAAAGTTCATCTCACCTTAAATTATCAGTTAATTAAGAGACAAGAGAGCCAGGCTTGGTGGCTCATCCTGTAATTCCATGCTTTGGGAGGCTGAGGTGAGTGGATTGCCTGAGCGCGCGGGTTCGAGACCCACCTGGGCAGGCGAGACCTCATCTCTACAATAAAATCAAAAAAG